GGCCCAGATATAACAAATTCAGCATCTATATTGTCACCAAAATTTAATACATTTGATTCACTACTTATAAGTATTTGTTATTGCAGGACAAATCCAATTCTAAGTACAAAGCGTACATAAACAAACCCCTTCCTCACTTCAAAAATTTACAAGTTATCATGGGTGATGATCAAGCCAATGTTGATTTTGTTAGGCTCGTGTACGCTAACATTGGGTCTAGTAGGTCCATACCTATTCCCGATGATGATTGCGAGATTCTAGAGGAGAGTGAAATTGAACCACATTCTGATGCTTGCAACCAACCATATTCTGGTGCTGTTAACCAACCACAACCCATTAGATATAAGACTAAGAGTAAAGACAACATGACTTCATCATCTAACAAAAAAACCAGAAAATCTAATCGTGAAGAGGAAATGCTATGTGCCTTTGTTGAGTCCATGTCTCAGTCAATGAGAAATCAACACGTTATTCACTGGACTGAGCAGTTAGCTGCAGCGTTGAAGGAACATAGGTCTGAATATTCTGAGGAGTTCCTTGATTGGGTTTTAGACCATTTATATGACAATGAGCGTGAAGCTAGGAGGTTTTTCATAAAATCCAAGGAAGGTCAACAGAGGTACATCACAAAATTAGTTAACGACCAAGGTTGGTCGGATAGCTAGTTTGTTGGGTTTCGATTATATTTTGATGGATATTGTTGTGTTAATTGCAAACTATTAATGTTGCAATATATATTTTTATTATGAAGAACATCTATGTCGTTGTGGGATTGATGAATTGGTATTTTTTAAATCTTTGTTGCAGGTAAGTATGGTCGTGGAATGATCAATGAGTTCTTTAAATTTTGCCTTTGCTTTTGATATCAGGTAAATGGGTTTGTTGCTTGGGTTTACTAATGTCGGCTTTTACATTCTGTTGCTTGGGTTTATTGCTCCATAGTCACACGTGGTTGCTGTGGGTTATGGGCTGTTATTTGGAGCTTGTGCAGCTCTTGCTGCTGCTAGGGTTTGTTGCTGTTTTGTTTTGAGCTTGTGTAGCTCCAATCTTTGTTGGGTTTGTGCCTGTTATTTGGAGCTTGTGCAGCTCCTGCTGCTGCTGGAGTTTGTTGCTGTTTTGTTTTGAGCTTGTGTAACTCCTTGTTCTTTGGGTTTGTGCCTGTTATTTGGAGCTTGTGCAGCTCCTGCTACTGCTGGGGTTTGTTGCTGTTTTGTTTTGAGCTTGTGTAGCTCCAATCTTTGTTGGGTTTGTGCCTGTTATTTGGAGCTTGTGCAGCTCCTGCTGCTGCTGGGGTTTGTTACTGTTTTTTTTGAGCTTTTGTAGCTCCAATCTTTGTTGGGTTTGTGCCTGTTATTTGGAGCTTGTACAGCTCCTGTTGCTGTTGGGGTTTGTTGCTGTTTTGTTTTGAGCTTGTGTAGCTCCTTGCTCTTTGGGTTTGTACCTGTTATTTGGAGATTGTGCAGCTCCTGCTGCTGCTGGGGTTTGTTGCTGTTTTTTTTAGCTTGTGCAGCTCCTGCTGCTGCTGGGGTTTGTTGCTGTTTTTTTTAGCTTGTGTAGCTCCAATCTTTGTTGGGTTTGTGTCTGTTATTTGGAGCTTGTGCAGCTCTTGCTGCTGCTGGGGTTTGTTGCTGTTTTCTTTGAGCTTGTGTAGCTCTAATCTTTGTTGGGTTTGTACCTGTTATTTGGAGCTTGTTCAGCTCCTGCTGCTGCTGGGGTTTGTTGCTGTTTTGTTTTGAGCTTGTGTAGCTCCTTGCACTTGATATGTGGCAATGATGATGATCAGCATTTACTGAGAATGCAATCTAACTTACATTGTTTATTATATCCAGATGTGGCAAAAGGGGATGAGATTGTAGCCTACATTGAATTGACAATGTCTAGGCGAGGCAATTCATCATTATAATGCAATCTGTAATAAACATGTAAGTTATAGGTGGGGCAATCAATTATGACAAGTTGATCTATTACTGAGCCATACAATATCAATTAGAATTTGTACCCAATTCAAACAACAGTTTTTATTACATCCTCAATAGTTTTTGCAAGTACAGGTACATGACATGAAGTTTGTAATAATTAAAATAATACAAAAAATTGCTAATAAAATTGCAGAAATTTTCCAAGCTAGTAGTTGATTTTCGACAAGTCTCAATTCATTCTTCAGCTTCTTTGATTGCAAAATATATTTATCTCCGTACCTATTTTCTTTGACATATTGGCTTCCTTGGTTGCTTGATGAGTCTCCTCTTTCTTCAGTCCATTCGAAAAAATTGCATTCTTTATTTGGGAATTTTGCACACCCCCAATAACACATTCCCTTATTTTTACCATTCTTGCACACTTTCATCGGTGTTCGGAGATTGCAGTTGCAATAAATTTCATAATTCTGGTAGTACTCTTCTGATATCATTTTGATGTCGGGGCAGCAAATTGAAGACAATGAGAATTTTATAATTGCTGAAAAATGAGAATGCATAGATTAATTTTGAGGCCTCAAGGTGAATTTATAGCCACCATGACCCTGAACTAGCCGTTGCTACTGTGTTATGCCTTTGAATTTTAAAGTTGTGTGGAAATAGCCGTTGCTACAGTGTTGCTACTTTGAAATCTGAAATTTGTGGCTTCAATCCGTTGCTATAGTGATTTTTAAATGTAAAATGGGCTAGTCGTTGCTATAGTAGCGATCCCAAAAAAAAGGTCTTTTTGAACCAAACATGGTATTAGGAATTGGACCAATTCTATAAAAGTGAGATTCCTATGAACCAAACATGGTATTAGGAATTGGACCAATTCTATAAAAGTGAGATTCCTAATCCTTTGGGTGAAACTAACATTGAATGCAAAAAAAATGGGATTCCATAAAACTAAAACTTGTCTATAAATTTTTTATGGATTAGGTTGGAATCCATAAATTAAATAGGATTCCTAATCCTATTCCTAGCCCTTGGTGAAACAAACAGCCCCTTAAGGTAAGTTGTACACGTTGGTCTAAGTCAAAATATGCTTTGATCATGATTCGGTGATTTTCTAAATCAGGTATGTTTTCTAATCGTTGAAAAAAATTCACGTAAGGATTTATTTTTAATTTTTTAATAAGTTGCGACACAATTTGAGAGTCCAATCTTTTACAAGAAATCATTCGATTATCAATTTCCTGTTGGTATCATAAAAGTAAAGCTGTAGATAGACAGGGCAATTAGGTAGCAATTCATTAATGTAATGATAAACTTGGCCTTGTACTCTTAAGGTGTAAATCCCTTTGTTACGTTTGCATAGGTTCTTGTCATATCAGACACCAAATGACTTGAATGCAAATGAGTAATTATAAGTATGATCATATTTACAAGATAATAGAGATCGTTTGAACTTGGAGTATATAATAGATAGAGTTCATATAGAACTTCATTGGTAGCTAATAAGACTTATCCTACACAACAACAAAAGCCTTTAGGTTCACGATGAAATCTTATTGCATCACAATGTTTACATACTTCTGCTGCAGGTAAAATATATGCCTCAGTAGGGACGAGAAAATAATCTATATAAAAAGACCATATAAGCATGTATTATTACATGTCTACAATAAATATATTACTATCAAATATAAAAGTATCTGCCTTGAGCTTTTGCTTTCTTTTTCTTCATACTTTCTCTAAGACGTACGTGATTGATTTTGAGAACAACGCTTATAATCAGAGGGAGCATATTGTGAAGATTTTTATTTTTATTTTTGAAGTTTAACCTGTGACATATGGTTAGTTCATTACTTGTTTTTCCCTCTATTCTCAAGCTTAAATAAGAATATAAAGAAAACTAACCTGCTTCAAATATGCCAAAACATGTAACTTGAGTCTTTCCTTTTATTTTATCATTAGTGGTGTTCACGGTCACGGTATCTGTATATTCTCTTATTTCAATTCCTATGTGACGTTGTTCTCTTTTACTTATTTATGTTTTGGATGCTTGATGAAATATTTATTTTACTTGTTTGGTTGGTTGACATTGAATAATAGCTGATTTGTCTATAATGTTTTCTTCATATTCTCTATTTATTAGGTTGCATTTTGTAGGCTCGTTAAACATCATGCTTTCTTTTTTATGTTTCTTTTTGTAGTAAGATTCCCTTTGCTTTTTTTTTTCATTTCACTTTTCTTATCCTTGGGCAAAGTTACATACCACTTTCTCTTATTTTCATTTCGATTTTGCATACTCAATGAAATATCAGTTTCACATGTCTGTTGGTTTGGAATATGAGTAAACGGTTCATTATAATATTATCTACAGATTGCATAGGTTGTAATTCATTTTTTTTCTCTATTTATTTGGTGGAATTATGTGCTCTCATTAAACATCATCGTTTCTTTTTTCTAATATTTTCTCTTATAATACGCTTCCCTTTCTTTTCTTCTTATTTCATTTTTTCTCTCTTCTACCAATGCTACATAATGTTTCCTCCTATTTTGTCAGATGCTGAATTGTCAGGTGTTGCTGCAGGTGCTGAATTGTCAGGTGCTGCTGCAGATGCTGCTGCTGGAATACAGGAAATGAACTATTCAATAAATGCTGAAGATGAGAGCTGGGAACCCAAGGAAATGTCTATCAGAGCTGAAGATTGAATTACAAGAGTTGAAGCTAAGGATTGAGCAAAGATGGACTGATATGTAAAAGCTTGTCTAATACGGGGCTGATTTGCAAAAGACCAATATTGGACATGAGTTACTTAGTTCCAGGACTTATGTGTAATAAATGGATTAGTTAGTCGTTACTTGAATTCAGTTAGTCTGTTAGACAGTTTGCACAAACACTGTACGTGCACGTGCACAGGTTAAGCTCTCAGCTGAAAATTGTATAAAAGAGAAGATTGTAAAGATCAAATCATGATATGAATGAGAATCTTTTCTTCTCCTAAATTCTAAACCTGTTCTTCTTCCTCACTCAATTCTTCCTTCATCGTTTCAATTTTCTTTACTATCTGTTATCAAGACTCGATAACCTCGATCATGGCTAGAAATAGCAATTTGAGGTCCAATAGAGGTTCTAGAACCTCTCAATTGGTATCAAAGCAAATTATGCTGGAATCTGAAGCTGCTGCTGATGACGCCATGGCCGATCCTAAGGAAGCGGCTCAGGAAGAAGCAACTACAGAGGAGAGGCTGGTTAAAGTGGAGGAAGCTATTGTTCAGCAAGGTTTCTTTACTCGCCAGCTATCTGCCAGAGTGGAGGAGTTATCTTCTCAACTTACTACTCAATTAACCTCTCAGTTCCAGAATCTTGTCCAAGAACTCAAGCAATCAAAGGAGCAATCAAAGGAGCCGGGTCAAGAAATTCCAAGATCAGGAGCTAGAGATGAGCGGAGAATGTCAGGCTTAGATCCAAGGAATGATACAAGTTTTTTGGGTCCAGGCTCCAGAGGAATGAACAGACAAGATCCAGAACAGACAACAAGAGCTTTCCAACCAACTAGAGGGGTGGATTCCAATGGAGAAAGGCAACCAGTCTACAATCTTGGTAATGTTCCTCACAAGAATTCTTTCTTCAGTAATCAAAAGTTGGTTCAACCCAAATCACTCCGTTTAGATTTTCCCTCTTTTTCTGGAAATGAAAATGTCATAGCTTGGTTAGAGCAAGTTGAACAAATATTTGAGTATTATGACATTAAGGGTGATGAATGGGTTAAGGTCTGTTCTTTCTACTTGAGAGAAGAAGCATTGCAATGGTATAGATGGTTGGCTAGGAATCTTGAAGAATTCTTTCAATGGGAAATTTTTAAAGAAGAAATTATTACCAGATTTGGGCCAAGTGAACTGTCAAGACCCTATGATGCTTTCTCAACCCTGAAACAGACTAATACAGTAAGGGATTATCTGGGAAGGTTTGAGCAAACTTTGAGCTTACTAGACGATCAACCTTCTAGGAGACATATCTTGGAAAAATTCATAGGGGGACTTAAAGAAGAATTGAGATATGAAGTCACAGCCTCCAGACCCTCTTCATTAAAAGAAGCAATATCCTTAGCCAAACTGTTTGAGGATAGACTCAAAAATGAAAGAAAATCTAGGGGAAATTGGAATACTTCAAATACAGGAATGTTGCCAACTAATTCATCACCTTATCCTTCTGTGAGAGAAAACCCCAAACCTCCTTCTCAATTCAAGAAACTAACTCCTGAAGATATACAACGAAGAAGAAGCCAGAACTTATGTTTTACCTGTGATGAAAAATGGTTTAGAGGTCATCAGTGCAAGGGGAAGCAAATGTTTCTTTTAGAAGGCATTTTAAAAGGGGATTCAGAGGAGAATGAAGTTGAGAATGGTGAAGAAGGAGAGGAGGACATAACCATAGAACTGGCTGAGAGTTTAGTGAAGGGAGCACCTTCTATTTCAGTACAAGCCCTCAGTGGTGTGAATGCCTCCCATACTATCAGGGTTGTGGGCTACTACAAGAATCAGGCTGTGAGTATCCTAATAGATTCTGGATCAACCCACAATTTTATAAATTCTAAGCTGGTAAAGAAATTGGGGCTAGTAGTAACTGAAAGATTCTGGATCAACCCACAATTTTATAAATTCTAAGCTGGTAAAGAAATTGGGGCTAGTAGTAACTGAATCTAACAGTTTTGATGTCCTAGTTGCTAGTTGGGGCTAGTAGTAACTGAATCTAACAGTTTTGATGTCCTAGTTGCTAGTGGAGAATTGATTAAAGGTGGTGGAGTTTGCCAAGCAGTATCCCTAGAATGTCAAGGGGTAAGAATTCAGGTTGATTTGCTAGTAATGCCCGTGGGGGGTAGCCAGATTGTGTTAGGGGCTGATTGGATGAAGACCCTTGAAGATATTACATTGAATTTTAAGAAGCTGCAGGTCACATTTTTTAGTGATGGAGCTAAAAGAACTCTACAAGGGGTACTTCCAGAAGAATTGCAGTTGGTTGATAGCAAGGCTATTTCTAAGACATTCAGAGAACAGAAACAGGTTTTTTAATCCAGTTATGTAGTGTAGACCTCAAAACATGCACAACAGAGGAAATACCTGAAGAACTGCCTACAGACCTGTTAAACTTGGTAAAAGAATTTCAAATTGTCTTCCAGGAGTTACCCCATCTTCCCCCAAGTAGAAGTATTGATCACAAGATTCCACTGGAAGGTGGAACCAAGCCCATTTGCATCAGACCATACAGACACGCACATTTCCTGAAAGATGAAATTGAAAAACAAGTGGAAGAAATGCTTAAGAAGGGAATTATCAGACCTAGTAATAGCCCTTTTTCTTCACCTGTAGTCATGGTTAAAAAATCTGATGGGAATTGGAGAATGTGCATTGATTATAGATCTTTGAACCAGTCCACAATCAAAGATAAATTCCCTATCCCTGTTATAGATGAGCTATTAGATGAGCTACATGGCACAAAATATTTTACTAAACTGGACCTAAAATCTGGTTATCATCAAATAAGGATGTATGAACCAGATATTCCCAAAACAGCCTTTAGAACACACAGTGGCCACTATGAATTTTTGGTAATGCCCTTTGGGCTCACTAATGCTCCTTCAACCTTTCAATCCCTGATGAATACCATTTTTAAAGACTTCCTCAGGAAGTTTATTTTGGTTTTCTTTGACGACATATTGGTTTACAGTAAAGGGTGGCATGATCATTTGTCTCATCTAAGGCAGGTATTCCAGATAATGAGGAATTATAAACTAGTGGCCAAAATGTCTAAATGCAGCTTTGGACAGACACAAGTGAAATATTTGGGTCATATTGTGTCTCAGGATGGGGTTGGTTTGGATCCAAGGAAAATTGAAGCTATTGTGGACTGGCCAAGACCCAAAACACTGAAAGGATTGAGAGGGTTCCTGGGATTAGCAGGGTACTACAGAAAATTCATCAAGAATTTTGGATTTATAGCTCAGTCCTTGACACAGTTGTTGAAGAAAGGAGCCTTTGGTTGGGGGGAAAATGCTGAGAAAGCCTTTGAGGCTTCCCTTGACACAGTTGTTGAAGAAAGGAGCCTTTGGTTGGGGGGAAAATGCTGAGAAAGCCTTTGAGGCTTTAAAGAATTCTTTAACCCATCCACGGAGCCTTTGGTTGGGGGGAAAATGCTGAGAAAGCCTTTGAGGCTTTAAAGAATTCTTTAACCCATCCACTAGTCTTAGAAATGCCAGATTTTAATCTAACTTTTATTATTGAGTGTGATGCTTCAGGTATAGGGATTGGTGCAGTATTGATGCAAAATGAGAGACCTATTTCCTATTTTAGCTCTGCATTGAAGGGGAGGAACATTACACTGTCAACCTATGAGAAGGAGCTCTTAGCCCTTATCCTTTCTACAAAGGGATGGCAACAGTACCTCTTGGGAAGAAGTTTTGTGATTAGGACTGATCATCAAAGTCTTAAGTATCTACTTGAGCAAAGAATTCACACTGGAATCCAGAATAAATGGCTTGCTAAGCTCCATGGTTATGACTACAGGGTAGAATATAAGCCAGGAAGACTTAATAAAGCAGCAGATGGATTGTCAAGGATCCAGGAAACTGAGGAAGATGCCTCACCTCAGGAAGTTGAAGCTTCAGCCATTACCACCCTTAACAATGATTGGTTGGAAGAAATCAAGCATATGTACTCCACAGATGAGTATTTTGTAGAGATTGATGCCAAATTATACAAGGGACAATTGGAGGATAACAAATATCACAAGAAGGAAGGGATGTATTATTATAAAGGGAAATTTCTGATTAGTCCTACAGCTCAAAATATTAAAACATCCTTGCTTAAAGAGCATCATGACAACCCTATAGCAGGTCATAGACCCTAGAGGGGGGGGGGGGGTGATTAGGGTCTTATGCTAATCTAATCCGATTTTATGCCAATTAAAATTAATTAATAAGTTATCCTAGCAAGTATGAAATACAACAATATATATTAGCTAGGATAAGCAATATAAACAATGAGATATATCCTATATGATAGAAATATATGCAAGGATATATAAACAACACAAGGGTAAATAATCTAAACAAGATAGTGAATGATATAGAAATGAGCAATGCACAATGGCGATATAAGATATGAACATAAATATGAAAGAACGCCAAAGCAGATAGTGGATGATATAGATAATGAGCTAATGACAATGGCGATATAAGATATGAACATAAATATGAAAGAACGCCAAAGCACACTCAAACAAGCAATATGATCACGGAGTTCGGACCTTCCGTCCTACGTCTCCGCTCCCCACTCCCGGGGAGAAATTCACTAACACAATCCGGTTTGGAAGCCGGAACTTCTTCTACACAGTCGGTTTTCTAGCTAACCGAAAACTCTACAACTCACACTCTTGCAATCACACTCTACACCCACTAAGTGTTGGACCTAGCCGTGTCTCCCTCAAGTGCTCGGTTACAACCTCTCCCTAGGCACGTCAACCGACGCCACTCCTCTTGGGACGATCCCCGACTCTCACCACACACTCCTCACTCGGTGTACAAGAGTATTACAAAGTGATTTAACAATTAAGCACAATATAGCAAATGATTGTTCTCTCTAACAAGGTGAGAACTCAATTAGGCTCAACTCAATGTCACACTATCCCACAACCCAATTATATAATGTATGCAAATACAATAAGCTCAATAGGTTGTGTGTGAACAAAGAGTATCAATAAAACAATTAAACTAAACTCAATATGAAATCTAGCTTATGAAAATAATAAATTGCTAGATGAGTTTAGAAACACTTCTCTAAAGATGACAAGAGAGTAGGAGAAGAGTGAATGCTCAAACACCAAAGGATGATCTCCACTTGCTCTTGTGAAATTGAATTCACAAACTCAAACCCTCAATTAAAAGCTCTTTAAACCAAACTTAAACAAGCACTAAACAAGTTTAAACCTTTGTTAAACTATTTTAAAACATTCTCTTGTTAGTTGAAAGATGACAGCAATGGGGTATTTATACCCTCTCAAAACTCAGCCAAAAATAACATGTCAGAGAAAGAATTTATGAAAAATATTTTCCCAGTTGAGAGAAATAAATGTTTGAACACAAAAATACAGTTTCTGAAAATCTGCTGTGATACACGATTTTGTAAAATCAATTAGGCATAGTAAATCAACTCCAAAAATAGAAAAAACTGGAGGAAAGTTTATAAACATGTAGATAAACATGTCAGAGAAAGAATATTTCAAATATCACTTCCCATTTGTAAAAACTCATCAGTTTTGTAAAACATGCACGAACATGTGCACGAATAAAAACGTGAATTTGTAAATTCCTTTAAACATAACAAATCAATTTCAAACTTGATAAAACTTTGAGAAATGTTTGCAAATAATATTTTGAGCACGTTACAAAAAGAATTTTCCAATTTGCATTTCCCAATTGTGAAATATCATTATTTTGCAAAAGTGTTCAAAACATGAAAACACAAAATCATGCATGTATATATATAACTATATATATACATAGAAACCAAATACGTGTGTGTATATAATATTGAGCTTAAGGTACTTAACACACATAATATAAAACCTAAACTAGATTACCCAAGCCGATCTTGATCTTCAATAAGCTTGACTTGGTACACTTTGCGGATGAAGCTTGAACTTGATCTTTAACTTGAATTGTATGTTGCTTCACTCCACAATTCCGCCAACCTCCATTTGATATGATCATTGAAGCTCTATTCCATCCATCCTCCAACTACGTTGTTTGTCTACAATACATAGGAAAACACAAATACTAGACAAACAACATTAGTAATAAATTGTTTGTTAAACATCATCAAAACAAGAAGGCCAACACTTTCTATTGGAAGAGAATGAAGAAAGATGTTCAAAGATATGTACAAGCTTGTGATGTTTGTCAAAGAGCTAAGGGGGAAAATGTGGCATCTCCAGGACTTCTACAGCCACTTCCTATTCCAGATTATGTTTGGGAGGATATATCTATGGATTTTATTACTCATCTCCCAAAAAGTGGGGACAAAACTGTTATCTTTGTAGTTGTTGACAGGCTTTCTAAATATGCCCATTTCTTTCCCCTTTCACATCCCTACACTGCTCAGATAGTTGCTCAGGTCTTCTTTGAAGGGGTATTCAAGTTGCATGGGATGCCAAAATCTATTGTCAGTGATAGAGACTCCCTGTTTACAAGTTTATTTTGGAGAGAATTATTCAAATTACAAGGAAGCCAGCTGAAATTTAGTACAGCATATCACCCACAAACCGATGGAAAGACTGAGGTTACTAACAAAAATCTGGAGAGCTACTTAAGATGCTTTTGTTCTCACAAACCCAAAGAATGGAGTAAGTGGTTAACCTTGGCTGAATTTTGGTACAACACTACATGGAAAATTTCTACACACTCTACTCCTTTTGAAGTAGTATATGGTAGGCCTCCTCCTTCTTTGCTTTCATATGTACCTAAGAGCTGCAGGGTTGAGGCAGTGGATGAAGTCCTTTTCTCAAGAGATATAGCCTTGCAGTTCATTAAAGACAGTTTGAAGAATACAGCTGAACAAATGAAGAGATATGCTGACAAACATAGGAGTTACAGAAGTTTTGAAGTGGGAGAATGGGTTTTCCTTAAGCTACAACCATATAGACAAGTCAGTGTGTCTTCATACAAAACCCACAAGCTCTCTCCAAAGTTTTATGGACCATACCAAATCCTAGAGAAAATTGGTGAAGTGGCTTATAAACTGGATTTACCTGATCAGGCAAAAATTCATCCAGTTTTTCATGTGTCACAATTGAAGAAAAGGATTGGAACTGACGTAGTTGTCCAGGTTGATATTCCTAATTATGTAGCAGAAATTGTTGATGAACCTGAAGCAATCTTGGATAGGAGGTCAATTATCAAGGGAAACAGATTGGTATCTGAAGTTCTCATTAAATGGAAGCAACGTAGTTCTTTGGACTCCACCTGGGAACTGAAGTTCTCATTAAATGGAAGCAACGTAGTTCTTTGGACTCCACCTGGGAACCATATTGGGACCTGGTTAAGAAATTTCCTTCTTTTGACCTTGAGGCAAGGTCCAATTTAAGTGGGAGGGATTTGTCAGGTGCTGAATTGTCAGGTGTTGCTACAGGTGCTGAATTGTCAGGTGCTGCTGCAGATGCTGCTGCTGGAATACAGGAAATGAACCATTCAATAAATGCTGAAGATGAGAGCTGGGAACCCAAGGAAATGCCTATCAGAGCTGAAGATTGAATTACAAGAGTTGAAGCTAAGGATTGAGCAAAGATGGACTGATATGTAAAAGTTTGTCTGATACGGGGCTGATTTGCAAAAGACCAATATTGGACATGAGTTACTTAGTTCCAGGACTTATGTGTAATAAATGGATTAGTTAGTCGTTACTTGAATTCAGTTAGTCTGTTAGACAGTTTGCACAAACACTGTACGTGCACGTGCACAGGTTAAGCTCTCAGCTGAAAATTGTATAAAAGAGAAGATTGTAAAGATCAAATCATGATATGAATGAGAATCTTTTCTTCTCCTAAATTCTAAACCTGTTCTTCTTCCTCACTCAATTCTTCCTTCATCGTTTCAATTTTCTTTACTATCTGTTATCAAGACTCGATAACCTCGGTCATGGCTAGAAATAGTAATTTGAGGTCCAATAGAGGTTCTAGAACCTCTCATATTTTTATTTATTTCTAATTTAATCTTAATTGGTGTTGACATTGTAAATTGTCCTTGAAAAAAGAGAAATTATAAATACGTTTATTTCAGAAATTACTATGAAACTATAGCAATGAAAAGAAATATATAGCATGAAGACCACAAAAAATAAATCATATAAAATTTAACTGAAGTTAAAGAACTAATACCAGTAGTATAGAGTCTTGCAGAAGCCCCAACGTGTCGGACCCTGTAGAAAGGAAACTGCAAGAGAAGGAGAATAAAATTATTTG